CGTCACACGCTAGACTCACGTTATAGTGAGTAGTCCGTCACACGCTAGACTCGCGTTATAGCGAGTAGTCCGTCACACGCTAGACTCACGTTATAGCGAGTAGTCCGTCACACGCTAGACTCACGTTATAGAGAGTAGTCCGTCACACGCTAGACTCGCGTTATAGCGAGTAGTCCGTCACACGCTAGACTCGCGTTATAGCGAGTAGTCCGTCACGCGCTATACTCGTGTTATAGCGAGTAGTCCGTCACACGCTAGACTCACGTTATAGTGAGTAGTCCGTCACACGCTAGACTCACGTTATAGCGAGTAGTCCGTCACATGCTAGACTCTCGTTATAGTGAGTAGTCCGTCACGCGCTAGACTCACGTTATAGCGAGTAGTCTGTCACACGCTAGACTCACGTTATAGCGAGTAGTCCGTCACACGCTAGACTCGCGTTATAGCGAGTAGTCCGTCACACGCTAGACTCACGTTATAGCGAGTAGTCCGTCACACGCTAGACTCACGTTATAGAGAGTAGTCCGTCACACGCTAGACTCGCGTTATAGCGAGTAGTCCGTCACACGCTAGACTCGTGTTATAGCGAGTAGTCCGTCACGCGCTATACTCGTGTTATAGCGAGTAGTCCGTCACACGCTAGACTCACGTTATAGTGAGTAGTCCGTCACACGCTAGACTCACGTTATAGCGAGTAGTCCGTCACATGCTAGACTCTCGTTATAGTGAGTAGTCCATCACATGCTAGACTCGTGTTATAGCGAGTAGTCTGTCACACGCTAGACTCACGTTATAGCGAGTAGTCCGTCACACGCTAGACTCGCGTTATAGAGAGTAGTCCGTCACACGCTAGACTCACGTTATAGAGAGTAGTCCGTCACACGCTAGACTCGCGTTATAGCGAGTAGTCCGTCACACGCTAGACTCGCGTTATAGCGAGTAGTCCGTCACGCGCTATACTCGTGTTATAGCGAGTAGTCCGTCACACGCTAGACTCACGTTATAGTGAGTAGTCCGTCACACGCTAGACTCACGTTATAGCGAGTAGTCCGTCACATGCTAGACTCTCGTTATAGTGAGTAGTCCATCACATGCTAGACTCGTGTTATAGCGAGTAGTCTGTCACACGCTAGACTCACGTTATAGCGAGTAGTCCGTCACACGCTAGACTCACGTTATAGAGAGTAGTCCGTCACACGCTAGACTCACGTTATAGAGAGTAGTCCGTCACACGCTAGACTCGCGTTATAGCGAGTAGTCCGTCACACGCTAGACTCGCGTTATAGCGAGTAGTCCGTCACGCGCTATACTCGTGTTATAGCGAGTAGTCCGTCACACGCTAGACTCACGTTATAGTGAGTAGTCCGTCACACGCTAGACTCACGTTATAGCGAGTAGTCCGTCACATGCTAGACTCTCGTTATAGTGAGTAGTCCATCACATGCTAGACTCGTGTTATAGCGAGTAGTCTGTCATGCACTAGACTCGCGTTATAGCGAGTAGTCCGTCACACGCTAGACTCACGTTATAGCGAGTAGTCCGTCACACGCTAGACTCGCGTTATAGCGAGTAGTCCGTCACACGCTAGACTCACGTTATAGTGAGTAGTCCGTCACACGCTAGACTCATGTTATAGAGAGTAGTCCGTCACACGCTAGACTCACGTTATAGTGAGTAGTCCGTCACACGCTAGACTCATGTTATAGAGAGTAGTCCGTCACACGCTAGACTCACGTTATAGCGAGTAGTCCGTCACACGCTTCACTCGCGTTATAGCGAGTAGTCTGTCACACACTAGACTCACGTTATAGCGAGTAGTCCGTCACACGCTTCACTCGCGTAATAGCGAGTAGTCTGTCACACGCTAGACTCACGTTATAGTGAGTAGTCCGTCACACGCTAGACTCACGTTATAGAGAGTAGTCTGTCACACGCTTCACTCACGTTATAGTGAGTAGTCCATCACACGCTAGACTCACGTTATAGCGAGTAGTCCATCACACGCTAGACTCACGTTATAGCGAGTAGTCCGTCACACGCTAGACTCACGTTATAGTGAGTAGTCCATCACACGCTAGACTCACGTTATAGCGAGTAGTCCGTCACACGCTAGACTCTCGTTATAGTGAGTAGTCCGTCACACGCTAGACTCACGTTATAGCGGACACGGCGCGCACTAGACGAAAAAGGTTCCACAAATGATACACCACGTTAAAGCGACAATGCGCGGTGTGTACGCCATTTTACAAATTATTTAATATTCTCAATTACCTTCAATGCAACTGGGGGAGTGAATTTCTCTTTGAAGAACACAAAATTAAACGATCCAAAGTTGCCATCGTTTATGTAGTACATGTGCACTGGTTGCCCCTCACCTGTGGCAGAGGTAAGAACAGAACAAAATCTCTTTCTTATTACAATACAATCACAGTACAATCACAATACATTTACGATGCAATCACAATTCAATTAAAATACAATTACGATACAATGAGAACATCCCTTTCTTCTCCATCCCCCCAGCAGGGTTCACGGTAGAGAGGTTCTGTAACTTTGTCATTTTTGTTACTCGTTTTTCACTAAATTCGGGAAACTTTTCGTATCATGAAGACATTATTGACGTCGAAACTATTCAAATGCGAATGTACGTAATAGTTTTTGTAAGATAATTTGGTTTATTTACGATATATTTCAAAATATGATATTTTGTTCATCAACTCTTGCTGCCGTGTCTGTCTGCTGACCGAGTCGCCCTCGAAATAGATCTGTGTAGCTCAATGGGTCATTGACTCGGATAATGAACTCCTGATTCCCACAATCACAACACAGTAACAGTACAATGTCAACTTATACACCATATAAAATGCCACTGTGATTCGGTGTAATCGGACAAACCAAACGACGGGACAGTCTCGTAAGGAGTGACTCTCGCTTGAATGCATGGGAACCCGAACGAGTCTTCAGACCAGATGTAATCACAGCCACAAGGGAGCAGCATTGCCAAGGTTGATGAAATATAAGAATAGGTTTTACCCTCTGCATTAACCATACATACATATTTGTGGAAAAACTGTTCGCCTTTTGGCGTTCTCTGGTCTAAAACTGGCGTGACAAGGCAAGACCGTCTCTGGTGCAGGCCAATCAGTTTCAAAACAATGCATATATTATTAGAGCATGTTTATTTGCATGTTCGCCACAAGTTCGTGTGGTTAATGCAGACTTGATTCCTTGGAAAAGGTTTCTATTTGTTGTTTGAACATCTTAACACCTCCTGTTTTATTGCCTGAGAGGATAAAATGTCTTATTTTTCATAATTTTTAGATACTAGCAAAAAGGTCCTATAGATATTTACAAGGTTAAAAGGGAGAGAATTCCAGACAACAGCAGCTGCAACAGAAAAACAGCGGCCTCCCTACGGATGAAAGCTTCCAATGCCACAAGGTACGTTTTCCGTTGTGCAAGTCCAACAGAACATTCCAGAAGTAGGTATATAACCGCATGCCGGTGCAATCGTATCTCAATTAAATTGATTTACAATGGCTTTCACTGGCTAACATGCTCTGGGAATGACATTAAACTCCGCGGCTCCCAACCCCCCCCCCCCTCCTGCTGCCTATGCCCACACCGTCGGCCAGCGGATTGACGAACGTCTTCTTGGCGATGACGTTTGTGGCCAGGGTGAGCGCAGACATGACGTAGTAGCGGCCGGGTTCGCTGATGATGTTCACGCCGCAGCCCGCGGGGAAATGTGTGTCCAGTGCAGAGTTCACGACGGCCGCGATCTGAGAAGTCGGATTTGCGAAGACACGTGCGTGGCAGCAGTGCTGAATCAACGTCACCTTTTTGAGTGTGCAAAGAGTGCATTTATACAGGGCCACCAGTTCCAAAGTGTTTTTCTGTCTCTATGTATGCCTCACACTCGATGCAACTCTGTGTTTTTACTTATCTAAAAGTTGTGATGTTTCCCGCTATGTGCCTTTGTTTTTACCTCTCTACGTTTGTCTCTATGCTTCTGTCTCTCCGTGTCTATCTATGGTCCAGCTAGGTCCTTTTACCTCATCCGTACAAGGCCCCAACACTGCACTGCAGTATCTATCACACGGCAACCGGGCATATATTGATACACAGATTAATTGATGAGCATCAATTTTTACATTCAAAATACACGCAGAAAATTGTCCACGTGAGAATCAATGATTTTCAATTCATAGATGGTATATGTAATGGGTTTGTGGCACCTGGAGCCACTAAAGGCACTACTTTCACTCCCAATATAAACATATCATAATACATATTTTTTATAATAATGGGCTTGAATATTTTCAATTCATGCAAATTCATGGAACCACAAAAGTTAATGCTGCAAGGTTCAAAACATGTGCTTTGAGGTGGCTTGGTGGATCCGAGGTCAAAGAGCCATTGATGAGTTCATGGACTCAGCCAGGGTCATTATCAGTGACTGCAAAACATCATTCACATTTCGTTTTAACCTTATTTGGCTGAAATGCAGCTGCGAGAATTAAAATATAGGTTTGACCTTTACGTGACAAACACCGATCTCACTGAAGAGTGTGTGCGAAACTGTGACCTTGTGATGTTGGTCACCCACCGCCTTGTGTGCCTTGCCTGCCTTGATACGTACTCACTAACAGCACTTGTCCCGACAGTCTGTTGTTGAAGGCTATACGGGGGAGCAGTGTCTCTTGTGTAAAGATGAAGAGGCCACTTGGCAGGGGTTTTAAGAAGTTCTGAGAAAATCTCTTGATGCACAGCTGCTGCCAGACACTCAAGAGTCGCACAACAGTGTGTGACATGATGTTGACAGCATATCAGGGGAAATTATTGCGGGCTTATTTTTTAGACGTATATATAAACGATGTAATATTTATTTACAGATCAAATCGCTCCACGGTTATGATGAATGAAAATGCTTGAGAAGTTCACGTTCATACCTGACGCAAGGACATTTCAGATAAGCTAAACGTAGATAAGTCATGGCAAGCATTTCATCCTGATTAAATTGAAAACGTTTGCTCTCTGGGTGTGACAAAACATCGATTCCCTCTCCAGCTTACAATATGTGCGTTGACTCACGCATGTCAGAATCGACGCTGTCTGCAATGTGTTGATGTCACTTGTGCAGCCACTAGAGGCAATGTATGGTGCGAAAGAAGCTCAACGTACAGAGGAGCTACAAATCAGTGCAAATATCTAAACAGAATTATTCTTTAATTTAACTGCGACCCGAAATAAAAAAAAATGTCATCGAATCGCCGTGGGAGGTGATGTGGAGTCATTCCACTCCTACTAACACTGACCTCCTCAAATGTAATTTTGGACTCTCCATTATGACCTGGGAAGCCTCCTCCAATGTCCAGAAGAGTCAGGCTCAATCCCAGTTCAGCCTGGAAACAGTGTTGCAGCGGAGGCAGAGTTAACAATGCCTCTCCAAATATTGACAACCGCATATCGCTATAATTGTATACGTATTAAAAAGTGTAAAAAAATCAGTCATTAATGATAAAAAAGTAAGCACTTGTGGTATTCATACCATTATTAAAGCACAACGGCTATCGTGAAGGCACTATGCTCCAAGGGTCATGGGGCACCATGGTTGTGAGATGTTAACTCCCTCGCCTGTTATGCAGGGGATTGTGGTTTGATCCCAACCCTGACGATGCCTGTATATTTGGAGTTTGAATGTTCTCCTCGTGGTCGTGTAAGATTTTTCTCCGGGTCTTCCGTTTTTTTCCCCTCTATATTTAAAAACGTGCGCCTAGAGCATTTGGCTGCTTTTCATTTTTTTTATGATAAGCCACTTCATTGGGCCATAACGTGCGGCCAGGTCACTTCTGAAAAACATCTATCACTCAGTGGGCCTTACCTGGTAACATAAAAAAAAAATTGTGCAGTTTAGTTTACTATGTTTCTGGAGGATGGAAGAGGTGGTGGACCAGTAACACTGGTTCGTGTAATGTGCTATAAATCCAGTGATACCCGAGTTGCAATCAAATAGAAACACAAAATGTGGGCGATGTTTTCCAGAGTGTACCCGCACGGGGTGTGAACTAGGATGAAGCAGATCCCTTCATGTGGCAGGATCACCAAGGAAGCATAATTCACGTGAATACATGAAGAGAGGGCACGTGGACAAGTGGGGCCAACGGACACATGGGTCAACCAATGGGAACGACTTGGCAAAAGCACTGACCAAAGAAGCACCGGTAAAAGAGACATGGGGAGGCAGCAGAGAGAGAGGCAAAAGAGGCCCAACAGGACTAGATCCTTGATTGTGTTGGAAGACAGAAGAGGCATTTCCATGGAGAGTTACAGAGTCAGCACTTCAGACAATTGCATCAAAAATCTAAGTATCAAGCGATGGAGGGCGGCGGGGGGGGGGTGTCACTTACAGCGTTGTTGAAAACCTGACGGGCATTTGCAATGGCCTCGGTATAGGCCACACCATCCTGGCAGCAGCTACCAACGTGGAAGCTGGTGAAGAAACACACACGACAAAACGTGCGGAGACAATGAGAATAAAACTGCCAAGCCAGTCCATTTTGTGATGCTTAACTCAAAAAGCGTACAATTGTGATGGCCCTCGACCCACGGTATTTTGTGGAATGGTGAGGACATGCTGAGTTGCCAAGGGATGAGCAGGGAGCATGTGACAGAGGGCGGCAAGATTGGCTGCGGTTGTTGCTGGGCAGGAGCAGGCTAAGGAACACCCTGGACCGGATGGTGTTCATGCCAGGAATTCTGAGTGCACGTGCAAAGGTGCGTGATTGAACAGAGCCTGTGAAACTCACGAACTCCAGCGGGTTTTTCAGTTTCACAAACCTCTATGTGATCCACCAACCCTTAAGAAATATGCAACACACCCAGTGTAACGCTACAGATGGATCCTCACTGATGAATGGAATATATCACCACTTCACACAGTGAACGCCAAAAGTTAATTTGGAGCAGGTTTAAGCAGCAGTGGTGGAACTCGGGTTAGGATCAGGGTTAAGGGTTGTGAAAGTGTTTAGTTGGCTATGAGGGTATGGTGTAGGGCTAGTATTTCTTGGGTAGTTTAGTTGTGTGTAGTGGGATGATCAAGGTTAGGGGTTGAGTTCATATTTTATTGGCTATTGTCTGGTTATCCAGTTAATAAGAAGTTTATTTTAATTAAACAGGGGACACCTCAAGGGACCCGCATAGCCTAATTTTCAAGAATTACCTGGGCCATTTGCCTGTCAGTAGGGTATGTTAATTGATATAATTCAATTTAATAATTTGTAGGGCCATTTTTTTCGGCAAACTGTGGATTACCACCGTGAACCTCTGCAACAACAAGCTGCGAACACGTGACCACTAGGCCATGTCACCTGGTTGGCTGGTTTGGTTAAGAGTTGAACTAGCAACGACTTAGCTAGTGTGCTCTCCACCGCAACAAGCCCGCTCCTCCCCCCACTGCCAAGGATGGCAACTTAACAGTTTGGTTCGCCTTTCACTTGCGCCATTCTCATCGCCATTCGATGTAGACTCACCTGACCCCCACGACGAGCAGTCCCAGTCCCTGCGCCGTCTCCAGCAGCTGATGGCTCGACTCGACGCTGGCACCAAATTTCCGGCTCATCTTGTACACGGACTTGGAATCATCGGTGGCGATTCTCAGCACGAGCCTTTAGGGTTAGGGTTAGAGCGTGTGGGGGGGCATTAAACTAGCAGACAACTTATGTATTTGTGGACAAAAGTCAACAATACACTGTCATGGCCAGCGTTTGTTGATGCAACCTCATCTCACCTCTTTACTTTTGCTAAACCCTAAGTTGTCCTGATCAAGTCTTGGTACAAGTGTACTGATTTTAGCGCCAAAAGTGATATGGGTCTTGTCCACCCTGGTTATTAGGATTTGAAGAACCACCTCATTCTCTGACGGTAGAGTCGTGTCTTCCGGTCAGCTGATGTTAGAGAATCCTAACCTTGACATGAGAGCACCACTTTCACAATGTTCTGTTTGCAATGCCATCGCTGCCTCTGACAAAGAATGTTGTCAGCGAGCCTTCTACACTTCGCGTGGCCTCGGAGTGCACCCAGCCTGGCACAAGCGCCGTGGTGACATCACCGTCGCTCAGTGGCGAATGGCAGCTGCTGCTGCTGCTGCTGCCGTCCATCCATGAGAGAAATAAATAAATGAGCTTTTCCCTCCGTTTGCGTTCACCTGGCGTTGGGGTTGACGCGGGCGATCTTGTGCAGCTCGGCATCGTTGTCGAAAGTCATGAGGTCGACGCCGTGCTCGGCCGCGTAGCGCACGTGCGACGCTTGCTTGCAGGGGTTCGCGTAGATGATGCGGTCAGCGCTCACGCCGAGGCTCTGCACCAGCGCTATCTCCGCCTGTTGCGACACGGACACACACACACGCACACGATGACCGTGATTGTGAAAAGGAACAGGCTTTACCCTCTCTGTGGGTTGAGATTTTTCAAACATTAAAGGGGCATCTATTGCAGGGCATCAAGTCTGCATTAACCCAACGTGCTTGTGGTAAAAAAATGCAGGCCGTTTCAAGTGTGGGCCAATCCGTTTCAAGGACAATGCACACATTATCCAAGCATGTTTGTTTGCATGTCCATATACACAAAAGGCAAAGATCCCCCGTCTAGCCTTAGCAGACTGGAGGAGCAAGTGCTGTTGGTGAGGAGCACCTATGTAAGCCAGCACGGTACACGAGGAGGCGGTTGGCCAGAAAACACACCCAGCTGCCATTATCTCCTTAGTGGCGATGTTTACACACCGCACCAGGTACTCATTTGAGTCACATATACACCAACCAATACCCGCCATTCACCACTAAGTGATGGTGACATCACAATGGCGCCTGTGCCAGGCTAGGTGCACTTTTAGGCCACTTGAAGTGTCGAAGGCTCGCTGACAGGAGGTCTCGGGACAGACCCAGGTGCCATGGGTTGGCTGACTGAGATGACTGGGTAGATCCACCACCTGTACCCCCTACTCTGCCAACTTGCTTCATTTTAGCTGCTCGGTGCTCCGTTTGTTGTTGTGAGCATCGTCCCTCTGCCCTCCATTGTTGCTGGAAGTTTGAGTGCCTCCAACTGCCCAGTAGCGTCCTTCACGAGCCTCCCCAAATAGGCCGATCTTGAAACTTCTTGTACCAGTCGTCGGCAAATCTACCCAGCTGCACATCCTCCTGTACCACATCAGTTTAGCTCTTCTCCAGCCCATGTCGTGCCTGTTTAGCCCCCTCTATGCGGCCAAACAGAAGCTGCTTGGGCATGCAGTGGCTGGGCATGCGGGCTACATGACCCAGCCAATGTAGCTTTGTCTGCCGGAGGATCTCACAGATGGGAATGTGTCCAAATCTTTCAAGTATTTATGAGCTCGTCTCACAATCCAGCCTGGTTAAACCCAGGATGGATGGTAGACATGCCAGCCTGAATGCTTATAACCAGCGCAGGTGTTTCATTAGATGGGTCCACGTGTCACAAGCACAGAGAAGGGGGGCATGACTTTGGCTGAGAAGACCCGAAGTTTTGTGCGGAGCGACAGACCAGGTATCTTCCACACAGCATTGCACAGCCGATGAAAAGATAATGCTGCCCCCGACTGATTCGGAGTGAGACCTTTGCTATAAAACCGGAGCTGGTCATAAGCACCCTGCCCAGGTATGGGAAACTCTCCACTCTCTCCACAACTGCTCAATGGGCAATAGGGAGCTGAAGGGGTGGAGTGTTTGGTGGCACACAATACCCAGGCAGGTGCTTAATTTTGCTGGGGCTGATGGTAAGACCCCACCTCTTAGTGGCATGCCCGAGGTTCAGCAGCAGCGCCTCCAACTCCTCCTCTGAGTGAGCAGCAATCACCAGACCATCAGCATACATAACATAGTTGACTAATAGGGAGCCATCGCTCGACCGCACCTGGGCACCAACCAGCCTCCCGTTGTTTCTGTACCAGATGGAAATTCCTCCGGTACAGCCATGGAAAGCTTCTCGAACTACTCTCAAAGACCTCGCACACACAATGACCATTCACACTCATACAAACTGCACTCAGTGATCACACAAACAACACATTTTGCTTCTCTCGTTCATGCCATTCAATTACTCAAGCCCAGGTGCCTGCATCATGACCCACTCGGTTATTAAAGTCACCCCCACCACGATTACCCCATCTCTATGCGGTCACTTTAGCCAGAAACTGGGACAGGTCATAGAAGGCATCTGAACACAGAACACACGCACACACTGATCTCACACAAACACTGAAGGCACCTTGCTGGCGCAGTCAAAGCCAGTGCCCAGCGTGGCGAGGGTTTGTACGATGGTCTGAGTGTTGTTGCACTTGACGGCGTAGAAGGGCCGCACACGTGGAAGGGCGCCGAGCCAGCGCAGGTGCTTTCTCACGATGTCCCCCAGGTCCACCACGTAGAAGGCATCCTTCTCATCCTGGCAGGCGCGCACAGAGATAAGCAACGTGGACGACGTACATACACAGCCGAGATGGATGGGCTGATGCGGCACAGCAGGGCATGTGCATTCGTACTTCATGCAGCGCTCGCTTGTTAATTCCACCCTTAATCATGGTTCTCAAACATCCAATGATAGAGGGAAGTGCGTCTGTCGAGAACGAAGCAGAGGGAAACGTTGAGTTTGAGTGGAAAGGTAAAACGGTGTTAGATGGGCTTGATACCAGTGAGAGTGCGTTTGCAGTAGGTCGACATTGTGGTGTAAATGCGTCGACTAGGAGGTCGATTATTAAAAATGCGAATGCAATCAAGGAGTGTTGCAGCTAGCGCTACTCCGTCCCCCCCCCCCCCAGTGCAAAAATAACAAACTGTGTGGCGTTGTTATCAAACACCTTCATCTGCCGTGGAGGCATCCTCCTGAATTCCTCACCGTCGCCGCTGCCTCCATCATCGTCGAATCATCATCACCATCAAATATAATTAAAATATATATATTGTTCTTTATAATAAATTATTTATTGTAGTCATTGTTATAAAACATTTACCATTTCTCCCCCTATGTTCACTTGTACCGGGAATGTAACCCCCATTTTTCCCGTTATACTTGCCTATCCCGACCTAATTGGTCACCCGTGCCCTTTTTAATCTCAACGTTCATCTTACAAAGTCCCATCACAAGGGAGAAACACAAAGACAAACGCTTTTTTTGCCCGTATTGAAACAGCTGTACGCCGTATGGACCTGCAAAGTAAATGTACCTGTACACGAATACGGGGTAAACCGTGTGGGTTTGCCAGTTATGCGAATTCTACATTCGCGAATACACTGCACGTGGCCTCATTGTGCAACGAGCCAAGCACAAGCGCCGCGGTGACGTCCCTGCCACCTAGTGGCAAATGGCAGCAGCAGTAGCTGCTGCTGCTGCTGAGAAAGTAGAGCATTGTGTGTGGGCATCTATGTTCTGTATTCTTGGGTGCGGTAGCATAGCGGTTAGCGCGCTGCGCTACGAACCCCGGCGACCCGATTTCGATTGCCGCTCACGGTCAACACCTTCCCCTAGGTCTACTCAGCCTCAAAGTACGTGGTGTGTGAACATCACCACTGGGGAGACGAAGGTGGCCGGGCGTGGTGTTGTCCCACCCACCCCCTCGTGTGCCGTGCCGGCCTTCAAAGGCGCTCGCTAACAGCACTTGCCCCAATAGTCTGATCAAGCTATACGGTGGATCTTTATGGACTGTATGTTGAACTTATTTTGCACCGTACGTAGCCAACCGTGCTAATCGGAGGTGCTGGAGGTATTCGTGTGTTACACACATTTCCATAATTCCCACATATTAATAGACTGTAGGGGCCGGTGCTCTAAGCAAGCACCTAGAAATGTATCCTACAAAACTATAACTTTTATGTCACCAGGTAAGGCCCACTGAGCTATATAGCTCTTTTTCAGAAGCGACTTCGCCACAAATGATAGCCCAATGAAGCGGCGTTTCACGTGGAAATGTATATCAGCCAAATACTCTAAACGCGTGTTTCTAAATGTTGAGGGAAACCGGAGGAATCGGAGAGAAATCCACGTTATCACGGTGAGAGACACGCAAACTCCAAATATGCAGGTGTCAGGGTTCGGATCGAACGCACGACCTCCCGTGTACCAAGCAAGGTAATTGACATCTCGCCACCGTGGATAAATCCAATACCACGCCCGGCCAGCTTAATCTACCAAGCACTGATGTTTGCACGCTACCTCAAGTACTCATTTAAGGCGAAGTCAACCGCGGGTTTTCTCCTGGTGGCACTTGTGATATGCATCGTGGCCAGGATGGTAAGCATTGCGTGGTTCCGGTCTTACCGCGTATTCTCCTTTGCTGAGCGATCTCAACACCTCCTCTGCTTTAACATCATCATCAAAAACCAGCAGCTCACTCTCTTCTGAGGAACAGCAGAATCATCATCGGTCAGCAGCAGGGCAGAAGTAGCAGCAGCCGAAGAATAATAATGCATATAATCAACAAGTGTCATCATCATCATCAGCGGCAGCAGCATCAGTAATAGCAGCAGTTGAAACATCAAAGGGATCAGTGTGGTGCCACGCCAGCGAAGCCACTCCGTGGGTGCCGTACCTGCGGCGGGGGGCTCCAGCAACGAAGCCACCCGGCTTCCGTCACAGCGCTTCCCCCACCACTCCCCGCATGAACACAAAGATCCCCCGTATAGCCTTAACAGACTGTAGGGGCAAGTGCTGTTAGCGAGCACCTATGAAGGCCGGAACGGCACACGAGGGGGTGGGTGGCCAGCACCACGCCCGACCGCCTTTGTCTCCCTAGTGGCAATGTTTACACACCGCACCATGTACTCATTTGAGGCTGAGTCGACCTAGGGGAGGCCCGGGACCGGTTCGGATAATCGTCACTGGTGTTGGCCGTGAGCGGGAATCGAACCCGGGTCGCCAGGTTCATAGCGCAGCGCGCTAACCGCTACACTATCGCTCCCCAAACACACCCACATGAGGGGAGGTCACCTGGCCAGCAGGTTTTCACCCAGAAGCCCCCTTATGGGACGAAAACTTCACGGTTTCCTGCGACCAGGGGATCGCGCGACCTCCCCCGAGGCTGGCGTGCACCGCGGCGCCGTGACCTGAGCAGTAATCACATGGTCACCACGGGGGATGCTGAAGCCACCGCGGGTAGAAAGCATCCACACTCGACACTGGTCAGCAGGTGGGTAGGGGGGTGGGGCAGAGTAGCGAGCGACAAGAAGGCAAGGGGGGGCCCTCGTCTCCGCACCACGTGTGCAGGGACCTCGCCCTGGCACCACGTGTGTTGGGGGGTAGCGGTGGAGGATCCCTCAGCCATGCACTTGGTTAAACAATGGAGGGCGGGCGTGGGAGAGGGGACTAGGCCGATTGGCCAAGAGCGAGAAATCCAAGACTCCGGATTGGACGAGAGGCCAGCGGGTTAGCGGCGCGTTGACTTTGATGTAAGGGAATAAAAAGGGATAGAGGTCAGGGAGCAAGCTCTCTTTTGCTCGGGGTCGTCTGGAGTGAGGGACCGAGGAGTGATCGTCCCCTGCTACTCGAACGTCCGTGAGACGGGTTGCAGAGCAGCCAGGTCCAGTTCCCAGCAAAAGCCACGTGCAGCCTCGCCTTTCCGCGACTTCCTCCACCTCGAGATCGGATCGTAAGTACGGAGTAGAGAGGTAAGGCCAAGTGGGGAATATCCGTTAAGGAGAGTGAATAGGGAGAGACAAGGCAAATTGGGTCCTAGACCGACGGGAGATTGGTTAGACCTGCCCTGCTGACCCACACTTACGCGGGTAGATTAAACTTCATTAAACGGAGAATAAATCGCCGGTAGACATTAAACCTTGTCGTGTTGTTTCTGCGAGTACGGAGAGGGGTGCACGGTGTCGTGAGCCTGCTCGCTGTGGTTTCCTGTGTTTGTGCACGGGTGTGTAATTTCACCACTCGACCTGGACCGACGACATAAATGCGGAGCAACATTCAGCCTTTGTTCACTGCAACGCGGTTCCTTTGCTTTGACTTTGCAAAGAACATATTTAACAAGTAGAACGTGTTGCCTATATTCTTGGTTCTTTCGGTAAAGTCACGTAGAAGGGAAACAATAAAATAATAAAAATATAAAACAATATTTATTTAAAGTTGTGCATTTTGATGTGACGTCACGTTTTTCAAACCCCCCCATCGTCACACATCGTCACAAATATCTGACCCCCCCCCCCCCCCCCAGGTGCGTGACGTAATTTATGGACGGCCCCTATGTATAATAAAGGTCTTTGGGTTAGATCCAGAATAGTGAAGTAATCCACCTGCTTCCGGTCTTACATAGAGCAGGACGACATCATCACTGAATCGATCAGGTGCAGAGATGAGGGACGGAGGAGGGGGGGGGGGTATTGTAATTATATAACAGATTAGTAATCAGTTAATTAGCATGTGTTTCCTCGATGAGGAATGCAGTTGTAACATATATTTCCTACTGTATATTTACTACTGTATATTTATTACTGTATATTTACTACTGTATATTTACCCAAGAATGTCAGTGTGTAACACGCGTGACGTCACTCCATGTCGACCAGCCCCCCTCATTAATAATCATGAACAGGTTACGTCCTCCACATGGACCTGCCCCTCATTAATAATCATGAGCAGGTGACATCCTCCAAATGGACACCCCCCCTCGATTAATAATAATTATCAGGTGACATCACTCCACATGGGGGGGGGGGGGGGGGGGGGCGAGGCGCCTCCTCTCCCCTCCTCGGCGTCAACTCACAACCCTCACTACAAAGGCAGAACCCTCACGTCACGCGATCTCCGTAACGCTGTTGAGACATCAAAGTAAAAAGGACGTCATGATGAACACGGGATTGTAACCTTTAAATGAAACAAGTCTGTGTCACCGCGCCCTTACAAATTGCACACGAATTGATGCAATGAATATTACGTCGCTGTCTGCTTTTCGCTTGCAAGTTTCAGATTTACTGCAATACACCCGTCCTTGGACGGGCAAAAGGCGAGTTATTTAATAATACGCTTCCAGGCCGCACTAAGTCTGTAGCTGTCAGAGCGGTCAAAATTATTTGTATTTCTCTACATTTCAATGGATTCTTGCATTAGTCTCAGCCAGTAATAATTCGTTTTACACAACACTTCAACGTTATCAAATTCAGTTGAGTGTCCTTGTTGGCAAGCATGTTCTGCAACTGCTGACAGTTGTGTTTGAGAGTATTTCATATTTATTTGGTGTTCTTTTAGTCTTACACTAATGTTACATTCCGTCCGCCCAATATAGAATCTGCTACATAAGCAATAAAATTTCGATTTAAAGCTTTCGTGACTGCAATGATTCATCTTCTTTGGTTCTTTCGGTAAAGTCACGTAGAATGATAATAAAATAATAAATTGATAAATTAATTTATTGTGTTATTTTATTTTATCAATTTATTATTTTATTATCATTCTACGTGACTTTACCGAAAGAACCAAAGAAGATAAGCAATTAAGTCGATACACACCTTCTGTTGATAACTTAGGCAATTAATCTTTAATACATGATACTCTGAATTTTTTGTTTTTCCAAAATTCTAACAGCAATACTGCCGATCGCTTTCAGCAGTATTGCTGTTCGGTATTGGTTTGGCATTCAATGCTCTGTTAATTTGAGCATTATTGTAGCCATTTAATCAAAGTGTAGTGAGTCCACCCTGTTACGTTCCTCTCCCAGAAGCGCCCCGATCGCCCCGCCTCTCCCGATGACGTCACCTCTCTCTACGTCACTTCTCTCTACATTACCTCGTGACGTCATCCTTATACCGTCCCTGAGATCGCGTGGCTATTTATACCCTCGGATCCCGTAAGTATCAGCTCTACATCACCTCCTCCCCCCCCCCTCCGAAGAAAAAGTCGTCCTCGACTAAACACAACCCACGCAAATCCATGGGATTCGGGGTAATCCTGACGGTAGAGAAAAAAAACCCCCCACTTTTGTTGGTCGACAAACAAACAGCTTCGACTCGACCGTAGTCCTGAACTTTTTGCGCGTGTGTAAGTTGTGGAATACATGTGTGTACCGAACAGAATTTAAGACGGCAACAAAACGAATAACTGTAAGACAAGACGGTACACACAAGGGGTCAATCGGACCCCCCTCCCCCCAAACCGCGACATGCGAACAACCGACGAAAAACCTCCGGCGCGAAAAAAAGACTTGTCGTTTCTTCTTTCATCTGCGGTCCTTGTGGTCTTGCATGCGGTAGTTGTCTGTTGCTGTGGGAGCATCACGCGGGCCCTTGCCCGGATAACCGGTAACGGACGGCCTTGGGGAAGGAAGGCAACCGTCTTGAGGCTGGTTCGTCATGGCAAGTGACGTCCCTGATCTCGGCAGTGATGATGAAGGTGAAGTGAAGGGATGATGGTGTAGGCGTTCGCGGTAACCCGGTTTTTTTTTGGCCAATGCAGTTGTTGTTCTTCCGAGTGTAGTTGGTGCATCCGCGTTTCCGGTGTCTTGTGTGATGTGACATTAAATTAGTGCAACCGTAAATCGTACGGTTCCCTAACTAAAAATGTCCTCAAAGTCTTGTAAAAATGCCCGAAGGCCCCCTGACGCTGTGGATCGGACAAGTTAGGATCCTGCGATATCGTGGCTTCCAGCCAGGGCATAACATCCTCGCTCGCAGGATCAGTTGCATCCGTCATTACAGTGATCCCTCGTTTATCGCGGAGGATACGTTCTAAAAATAACCCGCAATAGACGAAATCCGCGAAGTAATCAGCTTTATTTTTTACAATTATTATGCATGTTTTAAGGCCGTAAAACCCCTAACCACACACTTTTATACATTTTCTCAGACAGGCATTAACATTTTCTCACATTTCTCTCTTATTTAAACACTCTCAATGTTCAAACTTTCGCAGATTAAAAAAATAAGTACAATATTAGTAAATTAAACCAAAGATCAAAACCTGTTTTCAAGCCCAAACATTTTTGTAAATCTGGCTAGCCGAACGCATTCTGTACTCCCTTAGCTAATCAGGACGCAGAACACATGTGCGGTTCTCCCTTAGCCAATCAGGACGCCGAACACATGTGCGGTTCTCCCTTAGCCAATCAGGACGCCGAACACAATGCGCGTTCATACTGTACGCAGGAAAAAAAAAGCATGCAAAATTACACTAAAAAAAATCCGCGAAACAGCGAGGCCGCGAAAGGTGAACCGCGTTATAGTGAGGGACAACTGTATTCCTGCCCGCACTTCTCCGCCCCCCTGCTGGCATGGTCCGCACATGTGCCGAAACCGTTCCCCCATGTACAAGTATTTGAACAGTGAGAGACAGAATAACAGCAACAAAATCCAGAAAAGCACATGTCAAAAATGTTATGAATTGATTTGCATTTTAATGAGGGCGA